TTACACCGGTTGCGGGTGTGGGTCGTGCTTTGAAGTCGAGAAAGTTGACTTCTCGTTTTATTGGTCCGTATCAGATTGTCGCACGAGTTGGTGTTGTGGCTTATCGTGTGGCGTTGCCTCCGAATCTTTCGAATTTGCATGATGTATTCCATGTCTCGCAACTTCGGAAGTATGTTCCGGATCCGTCACATGTTATTCCAATGGATGAAGTGGAAGTAAGAGATAACCTTACAGTTGAAGTTTTACCGGTTAGTATTTTGGACCGTGAAGTTAAGAAACTAAGAGGCAAGGATATTGCGCTCGTGAAAGTGTCCTGGGGGGGTGCCGCGGAAGGCAACATGACTTGGGAATTGGAGAGCAAGATGCGAGAGTCGCATCCGGAGTTGTTTGAATAAGGTAATATTTTCGAGGACGAAAATTTCTAAAGTGGGGGAGAGTTGTAACGCCCCGATTCTGAATTCCCATTAATTGTTGAGTCTTTTAATTTATTTAATTGATGTTTGTTTTAAATTGAGAAATTATATATTATTATGTGGTGTTTGCTTATTTTGTCTATTTTTACCGATTCGGAGAGTTTTCGGGGAATTAGAGTAAAAAGGGCATTTTAGACATTTAGCACTTTAGTGTGAGAATTGATTGGTAAGTGTTGGAAAGAATTTGAGAGGAAAGAAATAGAGATAGAAATAGAATAAGAGAGGAAAAGAAATAAAGATAGTAACATAAGAAGAAAAACAAGAGAAAGAAAAGAGGAGAAGAGAAAGAGAAGAGAAAGTGGAGAGGAAAACCTAAAATCATTAAGGGATCATCACCAAAGCTTGCAATCGATCGGTAAGGGTGTGAAACTCCATCATCTCTTTAATGTATATGATTGTATGTGTATGTGTGTGGATTTTGTAGAGTTTCTACTCTTTTTCCACTTAGGTTAGAAGTTGGTTTTGTGAGTAGAATGAGGTTTTAATCGGTTAGAACTCGGATTAGACGATGTAGTTTAGTCGGGTGATGATTGGGTTGTGCCACTGAGACTGGTTTGGATTTAATCGGTTGATTTTGTGGAGTTTGGGCTCTTGAGACAGCCATGGAAGTTCTGTCTTCGCAGGCTCGCCAGGCGAATGGCAGCGAAGCTTCGCCAGGCGAAGCCCAGCGAGCTGTAGCGAAGCAAGTCAGAAGCTAACACCCTGTATTCGCTGACAAGTTCGCCAGGCGAGGTTAGTTGGCGAAGGTTCGCCAGGCGAGTGTGTAGCGAGCCTCAGCGAGTAATTCCAGAATTACTCCCAGTGGACTTCGCTGGGAAGTTCGCCAGGCGAAGGCTAGCGAGCATTCGCTGCGTGGCTTCGCCAGGCGAAGGTTGGCGAACATGGAAGTGTTATTTGTTTTGCTGTTTTGTTCATAGCATGATGTTTGGTTGATTCAATTATGATTAATGCCTATATAAATGATTGAGGTGTGAACTGTTTCGACATATCGTGCTGTGGGTGGCCGAAAGGCATGAATCCTAGATTGTAGAGTCAAGGTGAATCTTGAACGTTTGATAATCTTGTGTATTTGCTCGAATTGAATAGAAACGCATTGATAGGCTGATATGTGTGTAAACCATGTGTGAAATGGTGCATAATGTGAATGCATGATAGATATATGCGATGTATGTGATAAATGCAATGAGGATGTTTGTGAGCATAGTATGCATTTTTGTGTTGAATGATCCCTCGGAGGATTTGCATTGTGAAGCATCTGAGTATGCATTTGTGTGTTGATTGATCCCTCGGAGGATTTGCAGAACCTCGTATGATACGACGGTTATATTAGATTCCTTGGAGAATCGGTTGCATTGTGTGATTCCTCGGAGAATCGGTCATAACATGTAATCCCGTGGAGGATTGGCTAGAGTATTTGATTCCGTGGAGAATCTGCTGAGTACTTGATCCCGTGGAGGATCTGCTGAATATTCGATTCCGTGGAGAATCTGATGAATATTTGATTCCGTGGAGAATCTGCTGAGTACTTGATCCCGTGGAGGATCTGCTGAATACTCGATTCCTTAGGGAATTTGTTGAACGAGTCGGTACCGCATTTGCATCTGCATAGAGTCGTGTGTCGGTCTCTATGAGTTGCATGAGTCATCTGTGTATGATGCATTGGTTGAATGAATATAACTGTGTATGTTATATATGATTGTTTGGAGGAACATATAGTGAATGTTTATGAGCATGTGTAGAGGCATGATTAATTGTATAGGCTTGATGTGGTGAGAACATGTTTGAGTATGACTTGTATAATTATGAATATATGTATATATACAATTTTATGCATTAACTGTTATGATATTGTTTCTCACCCTTCTGTTGTTTTATAATGCTCTATGAGGCATTGCAGAGTAGGAAGCTGGAGGTTCTTTTTGTGAAGCGATGTCTTAATTCTTTTTGGTCAATGGCTCTGATATGTAACATCTGGGTAGTTAGGAAGCCTTTGACTCTTTTGGAGTTACATTTGTTTTGATTCTTTTGTGATACATATGTGTATGTATCGGCTGTGGATATGTTGTAAAGCATGAATTAACTCATGGTTGTATATAAGTTTATGAATGTGATCGATTCAATATTTGGATGTTTCCGCTTTTATTCTAAATATTGAGATGTGGGTTACCCATTGTTGCATATCAAATTGAGCAGGTATCGTATGTGTTTAGTTTCATGATAATGTGATGCGCCTCTTGTATACCATGTTTTAATTAAACTCTGATGAAATAAATTTTCTAAGTGCCTAATTGATTTATTTGATAAATTTGGGGGTATAGAAAGGGGGTGTTACAGTGATGCAGAGGAGTGTAAGGGATTATGTTAGATCTTGTGATGTTTGTCAGTGATAAAAGTATAGTGCTACTACTCCTGGTGGATTGTTACAGCCTCTACCTATTCCTAATGGTGTGTGGGAGGACTTGTCCTTAGACTTTATCACTGGGTTGCCTAAGTCTAAAGGGTATGAGGTTGTGTTAGTGGTCGTGGATAGGCTTTCTAAGTATAGTCATTTTGTTTTACTCAAACATCCATATACTGCTAAGTCAATTGCTGAGCTCTTTGTTAAAGAAGTGGTGAGACTTCATGGAATTCCAAGTTCTATAATCAGTGATAGAGATCCTTTATTTGTGAGTCATTTCTGGATGGAGTTGTTCAAGTTGCAGGGTACTAAGCTGAAAATGAGTTCAGCATATCACCCGGAAAAAGATGGTCAAACGGAAGTGGTTAACAGGTGTCTGGAAAGTTATTTGTGGTGCTTTGCTTCTGATCATCCAAAGACTTGGTCATTGTGGGTCTCTTGGGCTGAGTTTTGTCTAATTCATGTGTCTATTGGGAAGACTCCGTTCGAGGTGGTATATGGGAGACAACCTCCTGCATTGTTGAGATTTTTGTCTAATGAGACTAAGGTGGTTGTTGTGGCATTGGAGTTGAGTGAAAGATATGAGGCTTTAAATCAACTCAAACTTCACTTGCTCAAAGCTCAGGAACAAATGACAAGGTATGCTAACAAGAAGAGGAGGGATTTGTGTTTTGAAGTTGGAGAATGGGTCTTTCTGAAACTTAGACCCCATAGACAACAGTCAGTGGTAAAAAGAACTCATCAGAAACTCGCTGCAAGATTCTATGGACCTTTCCAGGTGGCGGAGAAGATTGGTGAAGTAGCTTACAGGTTGAAACTACCATCAGCATCTAGAATTCATCCAGTTTTTCATGTGTCATTACTCAAGCGAGTTGTAGGGAACTATCAAGTACATGGAGAGTTACCTAAAGATTTGGAAGTGACTGAGGAGACTGATGTGTACCTGGACAAGGTGTTGGGTTCAAGAGTCATAGTCCAGGGGGATACTGAGGTTCAGCAGACTTTGATACAATGGAAAAACAAAGCTTTAGAGGATGTGACATGGGAGGATAATGAATTTTTGCGTGGCCAGTTTCCTAAATTTTGCCTTGAGGACAAGGCATTGTCTAAGGAGGTGGGAGTTGATAGAAATGTGATTAGTGAAGTGGGGTCTAGGCCAAGGGTGTGGAAAGTTTATACTAGAAAGAACACAAAAGGAATGAAAGATGATGACATGGTTGGGAGTGCATGAGAGTGGCTATATATAGCTATAGCTGGAAGGAAATAATCAGAAAGAATTCAGTTAGGATTTGGTGGGGTCACCTCTTGGTAATTTGGGAGCACTGCGTGCTTGGGAATTGGTAGCTATTACCAGTTTGTTATTTTCCTACTTTTCCATTTCTATCTTGTTGTAATTGTGGATCTCATAGCAATACAATTGCAGTTTCATATTCCACTGTTATATCAATTTTATAACTATTTTGTGCATTAAGACCCATTAAGACCCATCAGAAGGTTATGGAGTTTAGTTTGTCAAAACAAAACCTAAACCCTTTTGCATTTTCTCTTTCTTTCTTTTTTTCTTAAAATATATATGGAAAGCTCTTAACATATATAATCAATAAGTATTAAGAAAGGAAAAATGAACAATATATCTAAAATATTACCACATCTCAAAATCATGCAAACAAAAAGAAAATTGTTGATTCCGGCAACTAAAGTTACTCTACAAATTTGCATAAGATTATAATATAGAAGTGAAACAAATGTTATAGGGCAAAACAGTGATCCCTTTTTTTCACGAGACATATTGCTAAGTGACACCATTGGTTTCAAAAACAATGTCAAACAACCTCTGGCGTTTCTTCTAAAAAACCTGCTTTCTTAATTGTACCGACAAAAACTTCAATGGATCGAGACATGTGTAACTCTTTACTGCTATACAAACAACGTTGAAAAAAACTACAGTACACTGGCACAGGGGACACAGACAAGGGAGTGTGCTACAGAAAGCAAATGAGTGAAAAGAAAGAATAAGAATGATTGATCACTGACTCGATCAATTACATATGGTGAATAACTGAGTATATGGAGAATCTGTCGCCACGTTCGACAAAACACAACCTCTAATGTTGTGTATGTGTGTGTATTTACTTTCCAATGCCAAGTTCTTTTGAGATGTCTCTTGTCAAGCTAAATTGCAAAGTGTTGTGCCATGGAAATAAGGTGCGGGTGACTGGAAGCTTCCTCCGAAGATCCTGCAATTAATTATAATCAAAAGGCTTCAAAAGATCTTCAATTAATTATAATCAAAAGGCTTCAAAAATCAACTGTCGTAGGCATGACAGAAATATGGTATGATATAATGGTTGGTACCTTGAAAGTAGAATCGGGAAGGTTTAGATATGAAGCCTGTCAAGTTATGGTCTCATTAGCAATGTTAACACGAAAAAAGAGAGAATTATCCTATCAGCAAGAAATCAAATTCAGAACCTCAAGAGAAGCAAGGTATTCTGTTTCATGGTGACGAATAATGCTTGATATGGCAAGCGCACAATCCTCAGGGGCCTGAAAGAAAAATGAAACATGAATAAATAATTGTTCTCTTTCTATAAATTCCATTTATATTCATACCTATTAACTATATCTTATCATATATATACATTAGATTGCCAAAAATATATGGGTGAGCAAATAACTCTGATACATTAACACTTAATAAAATGAAAAATAAAATAAAAAATGGTTATTTATGGTAACCTGAAAAAGAGTTGCATCTTTGCATTCATGTTTTGTATCTAACTGCACATTTCCCTCCTCAAAATAATGGGCACCAACCTGAAAATAGGACAAAAATGCTTATGTTAACAAAAGGCTGTAAAGTATATCATTCAAATCAATGCATCAAATATCTACATAATATCACCTGCAGTTTCCCTTTTACTTCCACGGTTTGTTGTTCATCTTTGAAATCAATATTCCAAACTGAACACCAACTCCCATTGCTATAAACAAAAGCAAGAGAAAAAGATTACTAGCATAATTAATACATTTCCTTACTGTACAACTAGTAAAGTAGACAGCAGTCATCAAAAAGAACAGCTCAAACTTCATTCAACTAAACTCACACACCAGAAATTCTGTGGGCTGTGCCTAGAAGCAGAAATCACTACGGCAAGCTCAAAATCAGAACCCGGACCCTCTGAATCCTTTCCATTTACACAGTAGACAGAGCAGACACCTTTTGGATAAACTTCTTCCACATATTTAAGTATCTCAGCATCCAGACTGAATCTGCAAAAAACAAGTCCTGTGTTATGCAAGCAATAAGGTGTGCGGAAGATATAGGCATGTGAACTCAAGCTACTTTATTCAAGCGGTCAATATAGTTTTTTTTTTTTATGAGAACGTATGTACAGCCAAATGCTCCCTACTTTTCTGTTATAGTCTTGATAAAAGAAAAGTTTTTCTATCCAATTTACATGTGGTTTAAAAGTCAAAAATTAATTATTGTATTCAGCAATTATGTGTATCATATTTTAACCAAAAGAATTAATACAACAGAATTATGGAGAAATAAAATATTTAAGAGAGAAAAGATGTATTTAAAAAAAAAACAATTTTAATATAATTAAAAGCATTAATTATATTTCTTAACCTGTGTGAGTCTCGAGGTCACTAAAGAGAGACGCTTGAAAGTTAACAAAGAGAGTAATGTATATCACTGGTATGAGTCTTACCAAGTCTCAGTCTCACTTCATGACCACAATAGGGTACACATTTTCGATAGAACAGTTGTCAATAGACATGATTCATGATAGGACATTGTAACTAACCCCATATAGTGGAAAAACTGAAAAGGATTTTTGGTAGTTGTTATAGTGAAGAAGAAATTTCGGTAGTCAATTTACTGTAAACAGTTTTAAAAGTTTCGAGTTTATGCAGCTAAAATATTGATGATTAATAAATTACTAGCAAAAGAAAATAGGTTTATTTGAAAAGCAAATAAATTCATTGAAATCTAACACAAAGCAGTGTGTTCCACCCGTCAACAAAAAAAAACATTGTGCAGCTTACTTCGGTAAAGGACTAAACTAACATCAAACAATCAGACATAAAACATTTCAATTATGCCAATTGCAGGGTATTACCGAAATTCTTCAATGTATGCAGATGCAAGTTCTTCATCCAGTGCAGGTCTCACCTCTTCACAAACCTGAAACATTTATTACAGTCATAAGACAACTGAACACAATACAACTTACCACAAATGCACTTGAGCCTAATTCTGACTAACAACTTTTTTGGCTATAATACCAAATTTTCATGTTTTGCTTTATCCCTTTACTTCCAACTAAGATTTCTTTTAATTTAAATGTTTTAATAGAAAACAGATGTTCCACGTTCCAATAAGCAAGTTCAATAAGTATAAAATTGAAACTTATGATGCATTATATATAACCTTTGATCTGTTCCACCTTTATTTTACAAAAAATGAATTGATGAAATAAAAAAGCAGCAAGTATGATAAGGTTCCTGTTTATTTAACCCAAACCTCAAGAAAGCTAAGTTGAGTGGAACTATGGTAGGTATATATAAAACTAAACTTATATATCTTAACCATGCTTGTGTCCTAAAACAGTTTTTTAAGAAATAGACTAGGGGCCTGTTTGGATCTACATATTTGAGCTTATCCACAGGCATAAGGTTTGTGATACTATATGGGAAACTTATAAAACAACTTATGACATTTTTCATTAACTATTTTCATCAAATTTTCACAAGTTCACCAAGATAGCTTATGAAAACAGCCTGTAACATACACAAAAACAGTCTAATTTAATATTATCTCTTTTGTTATAGAAATAGCTTATGCAAGCTTATACACAAACACTTACTCAGATAAGCACTTTTGTATAAGCTGCAAATAAGTTGTTTATCCAAACATTATTACTTTGGCTGATCCACTAAGGGTAATATAGAAAAAGAATGTAACTGAATGCATGTCTGGATTCCGAAGATTTAAAATGATCAGTCTTAGCATGTTTGAAGTTTTTTCTTGTAGGATTGATTTTGCTTCTAAAATTGATTCTAACTTGAAGCTAGAATTTGTAACTTTAATCTCCAAACCAATTTTTACACTCAAAGGTATTATTCAACTCACTTCCACATGAATTTATCTCAACATAAATCATTTTACCTGAAACTCATTTTTAACAAAAATCAGTTCAATCAACGTCAAATTTCACCATAGAATCAAACACACACTTACTTGTTTAACATGGTCAACTATTGCAACTTGAGCAGTCCTAGGATCAAGAAACGCATTTTCCTCAAGCTCACCAAAGGAAGTAACCAGTACCTGCATGCAGGTTCCTCAAATCAAATCAGTGATCTATGAAAAGAAACTACAAATTAATTCATCATTCATTCATTCAGAGTTACATAATCATGATACCGATCCAATTAAAAATCACGAAACCCTAGAAATTCAAAAACAAGTTAGTTACAAGACGAGAGAAAGTTAGTTACGTCTCCGCTTCGGTCAGGCATTGAAATAACAATGAAGTGCGATTTGTTGTAAAGAGGAAACGCTTCGGAAGCAGCTTCGTTGAACAAACCTTCGTCGTTGAGAATGGATTTCACATCTGAAGTAAAAACGATTGAGTAAATTGAATTGTAAAAATAGAATCGAAATACGAAACGGAATGCGAGGAAGAAGAAGAAATAGAACCTTTGGCAACGTATTGAATTTCTCCGGGAGGAGAATTAAGAAGAAACCATTTCGCTATCTCAACTTTCTGCTTCCCGCTGAGTTCAGATTCTTCTTCTTCTTCCGCCATTAACACACTCTAGAGGAAATGGTTATTTTTATTTTATTTCATTATTTTTGGGAAAAAATCAAAGTATGAATGGAACTAAAGAATGAAGATCTGGTATCGAAATCTTGCATATATTTTTGAACGGTGGATTAGAGAAGGTTTGTAAATCAGGACCGTTGAAAATGTGGGCTCCATTTAATTGGATTAATAATTAATAATAATTAATAATTAATAATAAACTAGTTTATTCATTGGTTGTTGTGTATGTAGTGAGTGTGATCTGTAAAGTTTATGTTTGCCTGCCATGGCGCCCTACTTCTGTTCTGATCAAATTATTTTGGTAGACAATCACGCTCAAACATTCTACTTTAATCAAGAATCAGAACCTATAAAGTAGAAAATTATAAAATAAAATAAAAATATAGTTGCATCATAGGATATGAGTTTTGTGCAATCAGATGTATATCGATCATAGTGTAGATAATGAAAATTATGTGTTGGACATTTGTTTTCTCTATTGTGTATTCTAAGGTGGTCATCGCTTCGGACCGTTTTGGGTTCGGATCCAAATCTCTAAACCGGTTTAACCGTTGGTTGATATATACTAGTTTATTTTTGACCGATTTATGAATCGGTTTGTTTTAGTTTGATTTTTTTTGAATTTGGATTCATTTATTAGTTTTTTACGGACTTAAATAAAACTAGGTCCAATGAAAATTAAATCCAATTTTTTTTATTTTAAATTGGGCGAATATATGTTTTTTTTTAATTTATGATATTTTAAAAGATGAGTCACCACAAAAGATAATCCCATTTAAAGAGGATACTTGGGCTAAATGAATGTCCCTAAAATATAAGCTTAATACATAATTCAATCACATTAATTCAATTAAATTGAATAACTGATAATAAACTTAATCCTTTCAAAGAGGATATAAAATCTAATTTTTTTTAGCACAAAACAACAAACATAATACAAAACAGTAATATGGCCAATATAACAACAAACACAACCAAACAAAAATATGTCAAAACAACCAACATAAAACATAATTTGTTAAATTATTTGGAGTCAGGAATATATCAAGTATTTTGTGATAGATAGGTCATACGACATAAATGTATACCCGAATATGAAGAACATCTATATGCATTACTGAAGGGTGCATTAAGATTCAAACAAATGCATTAAAGTGGCAACTCTTCTTCTACCTATAACAACCACAACACCAAAACTTTAACTGAAAATATAATTAGAAGGATTTCTTTTTTCTTCTTTATAAGCATAAAAAAAAAGAAATAAAAAATTCATTATTTTGATTTTATTTCACAAATAGATTTGAATTATTAAATTCTTTACAGTTCTAAATGAAGAGTTCTTCATCTTCTCTCACTTTCTAATAATACCAATCACAATTTATTTTATAATAATAACATATCTCTAAAGTGAACAATAATTTTGGTATGGGAGCCCTACAAATGCATTTGTCTAGTTCATGTTTAATAGCAATAGAAAAATGTATAAATTTATTAAACAAGAGAATAACTTTGATGCTTTGTTAGTGTAGAATTATTAATCATCGTTTATGACTTTTAAGACATGTAGCAAATTTTAGAGAATAGAATGAATTTGATTAATTGACTGGTGCAAAAACTTTATAGAACCAAATGCATTATCAAATAGTTTCAAAGCTATATGAGTTGAAACTTAACATGCCATTTAATATTAGATGGATTTTGCAATCTAATAAGTAGTAACTGAACTTGAAAGATAGAAGTTTGTCAAGGGATATTACTCGTAAGTACCCACAACTCCACCAGAATCTATTCAATTTTTAAAAATAGATATTACCTATTAACAAATGGTTTCTTTCATGTAAAGCATATAATTGCAACCAAGCGAAATATTTTGAAAATTATTCATTCATTTGTGATGCCACAGTAACATGCACATTTATCTTAATGCTTTATGGGTTCACAACAATAGAAACAGACACCATCAACAGCTTTAAGTCAGATAACATAATTGGATAAATCCTTCTCTAATCAAATTCTCCATGGCTCTGCCACCAAATCCAATTGCATGAAAAACTAAGCTTTCATAACCCTCTGGATGCAACCTATCTCTAACTACAACAATACAAGTAGCATGGTAGCAAAATCTATCAAAACAATGAATATTCCAGTAACTAAACTCAGAATACATAATTGATGGACATTCACCAAATTTCTGACTTAGATGCTTAGGGTATATCAGCAACAAAAAAAAGCATAATTTCAGAGTCACCTCCATCCCAACAATTACTAGGTTGGATGTGTGGTAAGAGTAGTCAGAATATGATTAGAAATGACAAGTTTAGAGAGCGTGTTGGGGTAACATATATAATAATAAAAAATAGACTTCACTTGTTTGAAAATAGACTTCACTTGTTTGAGCATGTAGAGAGAAAATTTGTAGATTTTGTGATAAGATCCCATACAACAACGCAGTCCTTACTGCAGTCTCATAAAATTTCCCCTTTAACATGAGTGATACCTAAGTGTCACATAAAATTCTTGAAACCCCCTCCATTTCAACCACGCATGAATTTGATATTACATCCCTACTATTTTTTCATCGTTTTGTATTATGAACCCAAAATATTTATACATTTCATATATTTTGCCTTACTTCTAATTAGGCGAAAGTCGTGCATTTTTAAAGCTCGTCTCCAACCACTCATTTCTAAAGTCATGCATTTCTAAAGTTCGTCTCTAAAACCTATTATAATTGGTTAATCGTTCGTCTCCCCACCCTATGTACATACCATAGTCGATATTCTTTCATATATATTTTAGATGTATGCAATCCTAACTCTTTTTTTCTCTAAGATTTTTCAACAACAAAAATTAAGACACTTTATCATTGTAATTTAGACACTAATAAACATAAATAACTATGCATTCTTATTTATTTATCAGTAATAAAAGTTTTGAAGTCTGTCATTTTAAAAATCCAACATATATTCATGTAATACAAAAAGGTCTATTAAACAAAATGTTTAACACATAGATATATGATTGTCCGACTCTGTTCCATCATCATGTCCAAATCCTTGCAATTTCCCATACTGCATGACAAAATAACCAAATAAGTGCATAGAAATTAAATAGCAATCGTTCAAAAATAAAACACCAAATATAAACATTTACTCAATGTAATGTAACTAGAGAAAAATAAACCATTCCTAACCTTATCATAAAAATCTGTATCTCTTATTCTGTATGTATCTCCTCTTCTATAAGACATTCATCATCTTTACTGTCTTCCTCCCACCCAAGTGAGCGCAAGAACGCAATTTCTTCTTCTTCCGAATTTAAAATAAAGTTGGTGCTACATTGTTGCTCTTCATCAGTTGAATCTCTAGATTCCGGAGTTGTGCAGCTAATGTCATTCTCAATGCTTGCTTTAGATTTCTCCAAGACACGAGACGCATCTTTTGAGGCACTTTTCCTTGAGAGATTCTTAAGGAAATCTCTTCTACTTTGGGTTCGAAAAGTAGGTTTCTTCTCCAATGTCATCCATGCAGAAGGAGTTGAAATACTTGTACTACTAGAAGAAGCGGACGTAGCGTTGGACGTTGTGGTTAGCGTTCTACTTCCATTAAATCTCACGTTGTGCTTTGTGGCTAAAGATACATCGTTCAGCTCTCGCAAAGTGTTGAAATCATGGGAATTGCCAGAGTGTGAAATGGGATGTCGTTATGGGCTTGTCTTGACCTTCAACTTCCCCAAAGAGTTAGCAGCCTATAACATATACCAAAACAACTCTAATGAGATCATTTGAACTGTTTGAGATAAAATTGAAAAGTACACGACAATACATAGACACTGGATCAAGTTGTTCTTTATGCAGAGTTTTTCTCCACTATCATCACAAAATAATATATAGACTATAACACTCAATCAGTATATACGCTTTAAATTGTGGTCTGCACCCGCAATTACAACTGCAATTGCAGTGTGATTTAAAATCAGATGCGTGACTTCATCAAGAATCACATCAGATCATTTTAGGCATGTTCTTTTGGTTCATCTCACCAAAAATTAAAATATCAAAATTCTAAATCTCAATCTTAATAACTTTAACCGTCTCACAACTGTGAATTTCAAGCATCTTCTAATAAATATTCACGCCAAACCATAATCGCAACACTTACAACCACAGTTTAAAACCAGCATTACTGACGCAACAAAATAAATTAACAGTAATCAAGGAGGAATATCTTTCTTAGATATATTACATTAAAAGAAACAGATATTAAGAAAAAAACATCAATACCATCGATCTTGGCAAATGCGGCATCATAGGGACTAATAACCGTGAATTCTTAAGAGCCATCTCCTCAAGAGCCATCTCCTCACGCTTCTGAGCACTTAAAGATAAGTGCATAGCAAACAAAACATACCGCATTATCAATTACTATGACATTTTACCAAATAATAACATAATGCTAACTAATCAAACTCACCTGTGAAGTTGTGCCAGCGCCAGAATGCGGTGAACCATGAACCAATGTCTCAGCCATACTACGCCTCATTCCGCACGGAGCAACAGACGTGTCCACACCATTGTTTCCAACCGTCACAAGAACCTCGTGGGATGCCGAGGTAATGCCAGGTGAAGTGTTTGAGCTAGTCTTTCTATTCATTATTTGTGAATCACTTTAATCAAACCAATTTTGCACCATTTATCCAAAACTGTTGTATTGTATGATCTAAAGAGACTTAAAAACTTTTCCACTGTAACTCAATTGATGATCACTATAACTCAATTGATGATCTGAAACAGTGAAAAAAAATACTTGAAATTATTACAACAGTTTATAGTGGTTTTTCATAAAACCTAGAAATTGAAACAGACTATTTAACATTAATTCAATTCTGAGATAAAAAATAATAACTATCACAATTTGAAATATGATTCAATGACATGCGTAGTAGAAAATAAAACAACACATGTACCTGAGACCAAAATTTTGGCAAAGAAGTCACAGAGAATTGATAGAAAAACTTTGAATCATGCACATTAATAGTGATAGTGAAAGGGAATAACAATATAAGAGATATTTAATAGGGCTCGTGCACATTAATAGTGATAGTGAAAGGGAATAACAATATAAGAGCATCTTTAGGGTAAACTAAATGGGTAAACTAAGATATTTTTTGTGGGCCCAAAGTGTTTTATATAATTTAAAAAATTTATAGTTGATTTGAGTAATAGTTGTCTATAAGAAACCAAAACTTGACCCCATATTTTATATTTTTTATTCAAGTTACCATTAATTTAATTATTTTAATTAAAATACATACAATTTTTTAAATAAAATTTACCTTAAAAACTTCAACTGGAAATATAATTAGAAGGATGTTCTTTCTTCTTCTTTATAAGCATAAAAAAAAAGAAACAAAAAATTCATTATTTTTGGTCCAGATTTTATTTCACAAATAGATTTGAATTATTAAATTCTTTGCAGTTCTAAATGATGAGTTCTTCATCTTCTCTCACTTTCTAAAAATACCAATCACAATTTATTTTATAATAATAACATATCCCATAAAGTGAACAATAATTTTGGTATGGGAGCACTACAAATGCATTTTTAGGGTAGAATTCTTAATAGAAAAATGTATAAATATATCAAACAAGAGAATAACTTTGATGCTTTGTTAGGGTAGAATTCCTAATCATCTTTTATGACTTTTAAGACATGTAGCAAATTTTAGAGAATAGAATGAATTTGATTAATTGACTGGTGCAAAAACTTTATAGAACCAAATGCATTATCAAATAGTTTCAAAGCTATATGAGTTGAAACTTAACATGCCATTTAATATTAGATGGATTTTGCAATCTAATAAGTAGTAACTGAACTTGAAAGATAGAAGTTTGTCAAGGGATGTTACTCGTAAGTACCCACAACTCCACCAGAATCTATTCAATTTTTAAAAATAGATATTACCTATTAACAAATGGTTTCTTTCATGTAAAGCATATAATTGCAACCAAGCGAAATATTTTGAAAATTATTCATTCATTTGTGATGCCACAGTAACATTCACATTTATCTTAATGCTTTATGGGTTCACAACAATAGAAACAGACACCATCAACAGCTTTAAGTCAGATAACATAATTGGATAAATCCTTCTCTAATCAAATTCTCCATGGCTCTGCCACCAAATCCAATTGCATGAAAAACCAAACTTTCATAACCCTCTTGATGCAACCTATCTCTAACTACAACAATACAAGTAGCATGGTAGCAAAATTTATCAAAACAATGAATATTTCAGTAACTAAACTCAGAATACAGAATTGATGGACATTCACCAAATTTCTGACTTAAATGCTTAGGGTATATCAGCAACAAAAAAAAGCATAATTTCAGAGTCACCTCCATCCCAACAATTACTAGGTTGGATGTGTGGTAAGAGTAGTCAGAATATGATTAGAAATGACAAGTTTAGAGAGCGTGTTGGGGTAACATATATAATAATAAAAAATAGACTTCACTTGTTTGAAAATAGACTTCACTTGTTTGAGCATGTAGAGAGAAAATTTGTAGATTTTGTGATAAGATCCCATACAACAACGCAGTCCTTACTGCAGTCTCATAAAATTTTCCCTTTAACTTGAGTGATACCTAAGTGTCACATAAAATTCTTGAAACCCCCTCCATTTCAACCACGCATGAATTTGATATTACATCCCTACTATTTTTTCATCGTTTTGTATTATGAACCCAAAATATTTATACATTTCATATATTTTGCCTTACTTCTAATTAGGCGAAAGTCGTGCATTTTTAAAGCTCGTCTCCAACCACTCATTTCTAAAGTCGTGTGTTTCTAAAGTTCGTCTCTAAAACCTATTGTAATTGGTTAATCGTTCGTCTCTCCACCCTATGTACATACCATAGTCGATATTCTTTCATATATATTTTAGATGTATGCAATCCTAACTCTTTTTTTCTCTAAGATTTTTCAACAACAAAAATTAAGACACTCTATCATTGTAATTTAGACACTAATAAACATAAATAACTATGCATTCTTATTTATTTATCAGTAATAAAAGTTTTGAAGTCTGTCAATTTAAAAATCCAACATATATTCATGTCATACAAAAAGGTCTATTAAACAAAATGTTTAACACATAGATATATGATTGTCCGACTCTGTTCCATCATCATGTCCAAATCCTTGCAATTTCCCATACTGCATGACAAAATAACCAAATAAGTGCATAGAAATTAAATAGCAATCATTCAAAAATAAAACACCAAATATAAACATTTACTCAATGTAATGTAACTAGAGAAAAATAAACCATTCCTAACCTTATCATAAAAATCTTGTATCTCCTCTTCTGTAAGACATTCATCATCTTTACTGTCTTCCTCCCACTCAAGTGAGCGCAGGAACGCAATTTCTTCTTCTTCCGAATTTAAAATAAAGTTGGTGCTACATTGTTGCTCTTCATCAGTTGAATCTCAGGATTTCGGAGTTGTGCAGCTAATGTCATTTTTAGTGCTTGCTTTAGATTTCTCCAAGACACGAGACGCATCTTTTGAGGCACTTTTCCTTGAGAGATTCTTAAGGAAATCTCTTCTACTCTGGGTTCGAAGAGTAGGTTTCTTCTCCAATGTCATCCATGCAGAAGGAGTTGAAATACTTGTACTACTAGAAGAAGCGGATGTAGCGTTGGACGTTGTGGTTAGCGTTCTACTTCCATTAAATCTCACGTTGTGCTTTGTGGCTAAAGATACATCGTTCAGCTCTCGCAAAGTGTTGAAATCATGGGAATTGCCAGAATGCGAAATGGGATGCCGTTGTGGGCTTGTCTTGACCTTCAACTTCCCCAAAGAGCTAGCAGCCTATAACATATACCAAAACAACTCTAATGAGATCATTTGAAATATACCAAAACAACTCTAATGAGATCATTTGAATTGTTTGAGATAAAATTAAAAAGTACACGACAATGCATAGACAATGGATCAAGTTTTTCTTTATGTAGAGTTTTTCTCCACTATCATCACAAAATAATATATAGACTATAGCACTCAATCAGTATATACGCTTTAAATTGTGGTCTGCACCCGCAATTACAACCACTGTTGTCAAGATCGCGATCCAGATCGTGGAATCGCACGATATTGCGATCTCAATCACCTCCACCAATCTGGATCGCAAGGAAGATCGTTTTTATGCGGAAATCGCGGTGAAATAAATTGATCGTGTGCTATAAATATGTTAATACCTGGTAGCTCTGAATCCTAATAGTTAGTCTTTTGTAAGATCGGCGGCGCTTCTCACCGGAAAAGGAGAAGAAGATGTTTTGTTTATGTTTCGTGCTCTCTTTTCATTTTCTCTGAGCTTTCATCTTCACTTTATTTTTATTTTAATATTATTTATTAATTGGTTTAACAAATTGTAAGTTCACGTGACTAATACACAGTAGTTGTACTGTACACGGTCAAAGTAATGTATATGTTATTTGTACTCTTAAATTTTAATAATAATATAATATTATACTTATCTCATATTACACAAAAGTAGTTGTACTTCATAAAATTGAAACGATGCTACTGTTATCTTTCTTTCTACTCCATAACATATGTTAACAAGACAAATAGGATTTATATTTCTTTCTACTTATTATTATTTTTAGTTGGTTTTATTTGTATAATATAAGATGCTACAAGTAGCACTTCATACAATATAAAATTACACTTTTTACCAAAATATAATTATAATATAATATATTCATTATTTTGTTTTATTAGTTTTAAAAATAATCTTACAATTTTATATTTTACAATCTTTTTATCCCCTATCGATATTATAAAATTAATTGCATAAGATCTTCCGATCTTAATTATAATTTTATATTTTACGATTTTAATGTCTCCTCTCGATCTTATATAAGATCTCGATTCTGACAACATTGATTACAACTGCAATTGCAGTGTGATTTAAAATCAGATGCGTGACTTCATCAAGAATCGCATCAGATCATTTTAGGCATGTTCTTTTGGTTTATCTCACCAAAAATTAAAATATCAAAATTCTAAATCTCAATCTTAATAACTTTAACCATCTCACAACTGTGAATTTCAAGCATCTTCTAATAAATATTCACGCCAAACCGTAATCGCAACACTTACAACCACAGTTTCAAACCAACATTACTGACGCAACAAAATAAATTAACAGTAATCAAGGAGGAATATCTTTCTTAGCTATATTACATTAAAAGAAGCAGAAATAAAGAAAAAAACATCAATACCATGGATCTTGGCAAATGCGGCATCATAGGGACTAATAACTGCGAATTCTTAAGAGTCATCTCCTCATGCTTCTGAGCACTTAAAGATAACTGCATAGCAAACAAAACATACCGCATTATCAATTACTATGACATTTTACCAAATAACAACATAATGCTAACTAATCAAACTCACATGTGAAGTTGTGCCAGCGCCAGAATGCGGTGAACCATGAACCAATGTCTCAGCCATACTACGCCTTATTCCGCACGGAGCAACAGACGTGTCCACACCATTGTTTCCAACCGTCACAGGAACCTCGTGGGATGCCGAGGTAATGCCAAGTGAAGTGTTTGAGCTAGTCTTTCCATTCATTATTTGTGAATCACTTGAATCAAACCAATTTTGCACCATTTATCCAAAACTGTTGTATTGTATGATCTAAAAAGACTTAAAAACTTTTCCACTGTAACTCAATTGATGATCACTATAACTCAACTGATGATCTGAAACAGTGAAAAAAATACTTGAAATTATTACAACAGTTCATAGTGGTTTTTCATAAAACCTAGAAATTGAAACAGACTATTTAACATTAATTCAATTCTGGGATAAAAAATAATAACTATCACAATTTGAAATATGATTCAATGACATGCGTAGTAGAAAATAAAACAACACATGTACTTGAGACTAAAATTTTGGCAAAGAAGTCACAGAATTGATAGAAAAACTTTGAATCATGCACATTAATAGTGATAGTGAAAGGGAATAACAATATAAGAGATATTTAATAGGGCCCGTGCACATTAATAGTGATAGTGAAAGGGAATAACAATATAAGAGCATCTTTAGGGTAAACTAAAATATTTTTTGTGGGCCCAAAGTGTTTTGTATAATTTAAAAAATTTATAGTTGATTTGAGTAATAGTTGTCTATAAGAAACCAAAACTTGACCCCATATTTTATATTTTTTATTCAAGTTACCATTAATTTAATTATTTTAATTAAAATACATACAATTTTTTAAATAAAATTTACCTTAAAAACTTCAACTGGAAATATAATTAGAAGGATGTTCTTTCTTCTTCTTTATAAGCATAAAAAAAAGAAACAAAAAATTCATTATTTTTGGTCCAGATTTTATTTCACAAATAGATTTGAATTATTAAATTCTTTGCAATTCTAAATGAAGAGTTCTTCATCTTCTCTCACTTTCTAATAATATCAATCACAATTTATTTTATAATAATAACATATCCCTTAAAGTGAACAATAATTTTTGTATGGGAGCACTACAAATGCATTTGTCTAGTTCATGTTTAATAGCAATAGAAAAATGTATAAATATATCAAACAAGAGAATAACTTTGATGCTTTGTTAGGGTAGAATTATTAATCATCGTTTATAACTTTTAAGACATGTAGCAAATTTTAGAGAATAGAATGAATTTGATTAATTGACTGGTGCGAAAACTTTATAGAACCAAATGCATTATCAAATAGTTTCAAAGCTATATGAGTTGAAACTTAACATGCCATTTAATATTAGATGAATTTTGCAATCTAATAAGTAGTAACTGAACTTGAAAGATAGAAGTTTGTCAAGGGATGTTACTCGTAAGTACCCACAACTCCACCAGAATCTATTCAATTTTTAAAAATAGATATTACCTATTAACAAATGGTGTCTTTCATGTAAAGCATATAATTGCAACCAAGCGAAATATTTTGAAAATTATTCATTCATTTGTGATGCCACAGTAACATGCACATTTATCTTAATGCTTTATGGGTTCACAACAATAGAAACAGACACCATCAACAGCTTTAAGTCAGATAACATAATTGGATAAATCCTTCTCTAGTCAAATTCTCCATGGCTCTGCCACCAAATCCAATTGCATGAAAAACCAAGCTTTCATAACCCTCTTGATGCAACCTATCTCTAACTACAACAATACAAGTAGCATGGTAGCAAAATTTATCAAAACAATGAATATTCCAGTAACTAAACTCAGAATACATAATTGATGGACATTCACCAAATTTCTGACTTAGATGTGTTGCACCCCAAAATTTGCCCTCACAATACAAGACTTTGTGTTCCAAGAAGGTTCACAAGGTTCACAAAATTCACAATTGGTCAGAAGAGTTGACAATTCCCTCAGACAATGCACCTCCTAAGCAGTGCATCCAAAACTAGGGTTTTGACTTTAATCAGGCTAAATGGACTTCCAAGACTTCAAGTGAGCTTCATAACATCTTATATGTGTATAAGAACCCCCATGTCAAGTTTCAAGACTTTTCTCAAAAGTTTGCTCAGTCAGATGATCAGATAAGTCAAAAGCAGTCAATGCAGTTAAAAGGTCAAACTGAGGTCAACTGTGGTCAAACCAAAGTCAAACTTCATGATTTTTTTTTTGCCAACATCAAAGAGAGGTTGGGTGAGAAATATTATCATAATAACTGTAATACCCCAAATTTTGCCCTAAGATTTGTCGTCGCATTTCATTGCATTTAATCAATTACTAACAAATTTGTGTAGTCGTTTGACTTTTTGCAGGTAAATATCATATGGCATGCATTTTTTTCTAAAAAAGTAAAAATGGCACAATTGGCAGGAGGACATGTGTAAGGAGTTATGAGTATGAGAGGTTGAGAGTTCGAATCTCACCTTTGTCACTTTTTTTGTTTTTTATTATTTTTACTCTAAATTTTTCTATCTTTCATTAAAAAAATAACAAAAACAGTTTGAGATAAGCTGGGATGATGAAGCTCCCAAGATTACCATTGATAGATTTGAGAAGCTTGCATACTGCAATGAGATTGACACTGAAGGGGCAAGTGGACTCCAACATATGAGGGACCATTTGTAGTCAAGACAGTGTTCTCAGGAGGTGCCATGATACTGACTACAATGGATGGTGAAGACTTCCCACAACCTGTAAACGCAGACATAGTTAAAAAATACTACGCATAAAAAGAGACCCGCTAGGTTGACAGGCCTAGGCAAAAATAAGGGCATCCCGGCAAGCCAAAAGGGTTTGGGCAAAAATTAGGGATATATATATAAAAAGATGTACACCCGGCAAGTCGAAAACCTGAAAAGGCGGCTTGGGCAAAAAAGGGTATCCCGGTGGATTGAAAACCTGAAAGGGCAATCCAGGCAAAAGTTAGGGATTAAAGCGTATGACTATGTCTCGTTTGGATCACTCATGAAACTGCAACCAGTTGTACTACTTACTCAAGCTCAAACAGATAAAGCTCAATCCAATCGTTTCCGTCTCAACAGCAAGAAGATGAGATACTTGAGTGGCAATAGTAGAATTGAAACTCAATAGGATTATTTCCCACATAGCTGATTCTTTTTGTAAAACTTCATGACAAAATTCTCTTACTAGGGTTTATGTCTCCTTGTACAAACTTACCCGTGTATGGGTCACTTTTGATATAAATAAATTCCATCTTTCGAATCCAGATTTACTTTTACCCTATTTACATAAGCGAAACGTCCATTGGTTGTGTTTGAATGTATGTATGCCTTTGAATATGATTGATGTTTACCAGAAATGCATGTATGCTTTAATATGATTGATGTTTACCAGAAATGCATGAAAATGCAGTAATAGTATTTACTAAGGACGAACGAGGGAAGGATTTCAACGAAGCTTCGCCGGTTCATCTTTACAAGACAGTTACAAACCATCAGTAGGACTAATCCATTTTCACAAAGTCTAATCTCCCCTGGAATTTATATCCATCTCTTTTATCCTCATACGGATATACGGGAAATTACTTTCCAATAAGGGCACGATGAACGAAGACGGGATGTTATACTTATCCTACTATCAAACGAAAACGAAGGTTATCTATACCCTACTATCCCCAACAACGGGAGGTTATCTATACCTTGTTATTCCCAGCAGACGGAGGGTTATATATTCTTCAACAACGAATCGGGATTTATTTTCCTTGGCCAGCAGTTGTTATACAAGGATATCCAGACACTTCCAGCAGTGTCATATCATACATACATCATTTACATCATACCATAACATATATGTCTATAGTACATTACCTAAGTGCATCATGTCATACATGCATACATAAAGCATAAACTAATGTTGTTATACAGAATGCTACCTTGTTTTCAGGTTAATTATCCAACAAACAAGCTTATGATCTTTGGGACTGCTTTATTGTAACCTCAGGGTTACTTTATCCTCCTGATGAGCTTCTTATTACTTTGGGACTGCTTTATTGTAACCTCAGGGTTATTTTATCCTCCTGATAGCCTCTCATGACTTCAAGACTGCTTTAGAGCTACTGATTGCTCTATCCTCCTGAAATCATCCTATTACTTCAAGACTGCTTTAGAGCTATTCATTGCTCTATCCTCATGAGGTCATATTACTACTTCAAGACTGCTTTAGAGCTATTCATTGCTCTATCCTCCTGAAGCCATCTAATTATTTCAAGACTGCTTTAGAGTTATCCATTGCTCTATCCTCCTGAAATTACATTATTATTTCAAGACTGCTTTAGAGCTATCCATTGCTCTATCCTCCTGAAATCATTACTTCAAGACTGCTTTAGAGCTATCGATTGCTCTATCCTCCTGAAGACATATCACATTATTATTTCAAGACTGCTTTAGAGTCATTCATTGTTCTATCCTCCTGAAGACATATCACATTATTATTTCAAGACTGCTTTAGAGCTACTGATTGCTCTATCCTCCTGAAACCATCATTATTATTTCAAGACTGCTTTAGAGTTATCCATTGCTCTATCCTCCTGAAATTACATTATTATTTCAAGACTGCTTTAGAGCTATCCATTGCTCTATCCTCCTGAAATCATTACTTCAAGACTGCTTTAGAGCTATTGATTGCTCTATCCTCCTGAAGACATATCACATTATTATTTCAAGACTGCTTTAGAGCTGTTGATTGCTCTATCCTACTGAAGCCATTCTATTACTTCAAGACTGCTTTAGAGCTATTGATTGCTCTATCCTCCTGAAGCCATTATTACTTCAAGACTGCTTTAGAGCTATTGATTGCTCTATCCTCCTGAGGTCAGATTTATCACTTCAAGACTGCTTTAGGGTTATCATTATTGATTGCTCTATCCTCATGAAGACATGATGTTACATCAGTATTACTCCAGACTCCTGACAGTTCTCATTATACTACTGAAGAACTTTCCCCTAGTGGCATCTTTAAGCCCACTCAATCATGTTCAACCAACCATCAATATCACTCCATGCACTGGTGAGTGCAAATTTTTGGGCTTTTGTGTTCAATCCCCTTCAACCTTCCAGGTTACGACTGGCAAATATACCAATCTAACCCCTCAGGTTTCAGAAA